TTTTTGAGGCTTCAAGGTATGCTGTTTTATCTGTTTGGAAATTGTTCGAAAAAACAAGATGTTCGCATTTTTTCATTTATACTCACCTTATTAGTACACTTACAACCTTTTATAATTTCAGGAGCCATGTAATAATAGGTGCCACATTCTGACATACTTTCGCTTGTCGATGAGTCCTGTTTTCGAATAAGTCCAAAATCACAAATTTTCAATAAATTGTTCTCTCGAAGAAGGATGCTGAAATACTACAGAACATTAATGATTATTCAGCAAAGACTTGAGACAACAGATCTTACTTGGAAGGCTTCAAGTCTCGATGGATAACGTTTTTAGAATGCAGGTATTTCATTCCTTGAACAATTTGCCTTATCCACTCACAGAACGTTTTCTTCCCAATTTCGGTTTTTTTTTCCGGTGTGCTACCATTTGGTGTTGTTGTATCTCTGCGGGAACTCTTTTCTTTGCTTTAAAAGCAGTTCATTTTCAGACTGTGTTGTTCTTTGTAATAAAACGCTACTAACAGTGATTGGAGAAGAATTAAGTGATGAATTGGTAATAGTTAACTTTCTATTGGAATACCAGATAAATATTTTTCAGAATTAGAGTTGTAACGAAAGTTTAAGAAAACTACGCCAGACATTTGATAAAGAGAGTTGGTTTCATCGATCTCTGCGAACGTCAAGCAGTAGAGACCTCTTGTCATAGTAGGAACTATGGAATCTCATGTGAGCTTTAGTTGCATGCACCTTACTCTCAGAGAATCGCTACAGTAGGTTATTCAGTTACTGTAAAGTTTTGTTGATTTTTAAAAGCACAAAGGTGCCTGAAATATTTTCTGATGTATTATCTAGGAATCTACCTCCTGAAATCTATGCTGACATTTATTTGCTGATTCTTGGCTACCTACTTTGACTGAACCATCTTGTTTATAGCAAGTTTATAGCCTTTTCAACAAAAAATGAAAATTTGCATCATTTGCGGACAAACCTCGGAATATTATTGTGAATCACTTCTTTTAACGATCCATTATTACAGAATTCCATTAAAACATAATTTTCGTTGTAGGCAGTGGAAAATCCGCTGCAACTTCATTTACTTTTTAGCGGGAGAGGTAAAGATGCAGCAAAAAAAGCTTGCTTATTGTACTTTCTTTTACGCAGACAAAAAAATTACAATTTTTTAGATTAATAAAAATGATGTTTGTGGAAACTAACAGAAACTGGATCAAATTTTGGTGTTTTAAGTGAAGTAGACCAGAAATTGCTTCTGCCTCTCTTTTACCGACTCTTTTAACAGCAATTGTTTCGTCGCCGAGGTCACCCTTGTACACCACACCTTGACTACCCGCGCCTATTCTTTCCAAGTTCTTAATACATTTGAACTCCACTTCTCTTGGGGCTTAATTTATAAAGTACTGTTATTTAGCGTTAAAGCAACTTTTCAAAAAAATTAAAATTAGCATTAAATGAATTTTAAAAAAGCCTTTTTGTATGCAATAATTCAAGTTTTTCTCAAGTTACTGGGTTTTTTTTTTTTGGTATCAAAAAGCCATTCTATCACAGGGCTCAGTAAAAGTCTTCTATTTCTTCAGAAATGCAGTTTTTTCTCTAGAAACGCATATACATTACACAACATTCTTGAAGCAGAGTTAGTGGCAAAAAAGTAGCTATAATTAATAATCCAGCGTAAAATGGCCACAGTTTTATTTGTTCCTCACCGTTGAGAAATCTGACAACATTTGCGCGATTCGACTCCTTTGCAACATCCAAAGCAGTTTTCTAAAAAATGTAGAAGTGATAACTGTTTTGTAAAAAGATTCTAAATGCCTATCTGAAAATATTACTTATTACAGTCACGTAAAAAGACAACAACAAACTTGAGTTTTTTTCTCTTATTTTAAAAGTTCTAACAGAAACACTTTTGATAAAGCAATTAAGTAACTAATGAGTCAAAAACCTTAACAAACAAAAAATAAAAAACCGATACAGATTAAAAAAAAAAACCAGACAATAAACACCTAAAAATGAGTCCTAAATCAATCATTTCGAAAAGAATTCTCAGTCATAGACACCAAAGTTAAAAGTTATGATAAAGCAAAATTTTAATAGGCGCTGAACAGCAACAGTGATCTATTTGAAGAGGTTTCAAAACAGAAAAATTAGAGAACGATCAAGTGGTGGCCAATTTTAAAAAAAATTTGCTGTAACGAAATAAATCATCGGCAGTGACAAAAACAATGTCAGTGACCTGTTTTCTGCACCTTACAATTTTTTAAAATTTTCTTTTTTAGGACAATTTTGGCAAACTCATTTGATAAGCACACAGCTGACTCAATCACATTTCATAGATTCCTCAAATTTATCAGACTTAGTTGCGCTGTGATATAGAGCACCTGACACTCCTTCTTCATACTGAAACTACATTTAAAGTAAGCTTTTCTAAAGATTTCTATCAGATTCGGTTTTCTGCAACTTCAAATTTTTGATTTTTTGCTTCCAGTAAATCTTCTTT